TGTATCTCAAGGAGTGTTGGCGCAAGGATTTTTTCCCCCATGCTCTCAAAATTCATGCTTGTCTGTGATACAGCAATTGGACATGCTGCCTGCAACATGCAGACTCAGGGTATCACAAGTGCGGCAGCATTTTCTTTCAGATGACAATCCCATTGTGCAATAAATGTCTGCAACAGTCAGGCTTCTCTGAGTCCTTTCAGCTTCAGACACCCTTTTGCACGAGTTTTCATTTCAGTGTCACAAAATCAGCATCATCCATTCATATCGCTGTCTCATTCAAGCCCATTTTTTCCCTGCATTGTTAAAATAAAATTGTTTAATTCTAGTGTCAAGAAAATGGATGTTGGTATTTTTTTGGTGTCTCCCAACACTGTATTAGTTTTAAAAAGGCATAAAAAGGATCTTATTTACTTTTCTTGTTTTCTCCCAGTGAATGTCCCTTCGACTGTAATGGAGGCCATGTCCAGACAAGACACCCTACAGCCATTTAATAAAAGTAGCAAACTATCCCCTGGCACTCCACAGCGATCCATAGTATTTCCACAGACTCCGTGTAGCAGAAATTTTTCTCTCCTGGATAAGTCTGGGTCCATCGAGTCAGGATTTAACCAGATCAGTGTCAAAAACCAACGAGTTCTTGCAAGCCCAACTTCAACAAGCCAACTAAATTCTGAGTTCAGTGACTGGCATCTTTGGAAATGTGGGCAATGCTTTAAGACTTTCACCCAGCGGATCCTCTTACAGATGCATGTGTGTACGCAGAACCCTGACAGGTAAAGCCCAGGCTCTCTTTATTTCTCTATCTACTGGTAGCCAGATCCACTGCTTTCTTCTTTTATCAAGCTGTTATCATTTCCAAAACCAAAACATTATTAGGAGGAGCCCGTACAACATAATTTATCTGCAGCACTGTGAAGCAAGCTGATAAAAACCATTGCTTGACTTTACTATTTGTAAAAACATTTGACGCCTAAATGTGCAGATAAAGGAAATAGCTAAGGATATAATCTTGTTTTCAGAATTGTTTGGTACATCTGATGGAGGCAACAAAATAGAAGGAAAATTTATTAATATCATAGATGGAAAAATGAGGTCAAGATAATTAAAAGTCTCTCTGTCTTCCAAAGATAATCTAACTTACTGCTCAGTGGCTGTCACAGTCATATCAGGGTTCACCTATAGTGTGCAATGTGTATGAACTTAATTAAGTACTAAGAGGTAATGAATTGGAATTTTTTGCTTAGTACTATTTTTCTTCAGAGCATGCAAACCCATAAATCGTGCAAAGCTGTCAAAAGGAAATACCTACTCCACTAGTGATGTGGAGGAAAACAGATGCCACTTATTCAATAAACTAATATCCACACAGAAGAAAAATGTTGACTAGATACCTCAGAGTCAAAGTTGGTTTGAAAGTTTGTCAATACAGAATTTTATGGCCGTGAACTGAGGATGAAATTTAGCTGAACAAGTGAATTAAAATTTCAGGTACGCTGAGCGGTGGCACAGTAAATATAATGGAACCATTATTTATGAATCAAAGCTGGTTTATTTGACAATTTTGATAGCTGGCAGGACAAAAGACAAAAATCAAATTAATTCAATAAAAAAGGCTGCCCATGTTTTGTCTCTTCTTCATCTGTGAAGAAGGTTTGAGCAGAATAGCTGAATCCCTGGAAGCTTCTTTTAAAAGCAGCATTTAATTGCAAATTACATTTAGCCAAAATGCTACCAAAAAATAGTCAACAGTGAGTCTGTGCATGTGTTTGTATGCATGTCTATGTCTCTTTGTGAATGTGGTTATCTGCATGTACACATATGCTTGTGTGATTCTGTGGGTGTGGAGATAGTGGAGCATAAATCTAGTTTTCCAGGAAGAAATGTCAACCAGATTTCATGCAAGCTTTCGTAGAATTAAAGAAGTTGATAATAGTGTAAAGTGCAAACAAGCCATTTCAACATTTTCTGAATTTTATAGTCACCTTAGTAGAAACAAACACTGTACTAATGAAGCTGTAGGACACAACTGCCATTTTAAGTGCCACAGTGTAGAATATGGGTGTGGAAAGGTCTGCTCTCATACATTTCATGGACTCTTATGTTTCCAGTTTTAGAATATCCTAAGCATAGTGTAAAAATAAAATGCTGCATCAGGCTGTGTAGAAGAGGTATGTTGTGAGGCTTCCCCACTTTTCGGTGTCGTCTAACCAGGTGTGATGCCTAGATTTCACCCTTTCCTTCACTTGAACCTGTGTCTTCCTTTATGAAGAGCCAAGCTGCAGATAACAGTTAATGCAAGAAGAGTTAATGCACGAATAGCCTAATGAGGCTATTCTGCACTCTAAAGTATAGTTAAACATTCATTTTGCCAGAGAGAAAAAATGAGTATAAGTCTATCATACAATTAGATCTGTTATCTTGGATGTGAGAGATTTGCATTCTTATTTTCATTTAATTTCTCCTAAATATCTTGTGTCAGATGTTGCCTGAAATAGGATACATTTAAAGTCTTCCCCTTTAGACGTGAACAACCTCATCAGTGGATTACCAATTCGTGATGTCTTGCTGGTTTGCCTCTCTTGTGGCTACCTTATTTGTCCACACAAAACACGTTCAGCAAGAAAGCATGGAGCATTTTTAGCTCAGAATACCCTACAGCATAGAGGAAAATTATCTAGATTAGCAGATGACTCCCTCAGGAGCAAAGAGAGCAAAGAGAGATTGTAGAAAGATCTCAGCAGTTTTGGGGAGGATTGGTGTGTGGAGGAGGTAAGTAAAGACTGAGTTGCAATGTTGAAACTCAGAAGCCTGCAGAAAAATTAGAATATAAAATGCCTTTTTCTCAATATTCATACTGGCTAATTCAACTGGTTTCCTCTTTGGCTTGTTAGGTTTTGCAAATCCTATTCTAAAGAAACTTCTTCTCTTGGGTAATAGCATAAAACCTAAATGCTCTTGCAATATAAACTTGGGTTCAATCTACTGCATAGATTAGATTCTGCAGTGCTCAGTTCTGTAACACCTGTGATCCCTCTGTGCTGGAGAATGACTATATTTTCATTAAAAAAATTGTGCAGACTCCTTGTGGTAGCCAGTTTTGTAATGCCTTCTCTGTTGCAGTGAGGTGTGCCATCGACATACCTGCTGTAAAACCAGTTCCCAATAGGTCTTCTTTGGAGCATTATGTGGGATGTCAGTCAAATTAATCTGTTTAAACTCACTGCAATTGATTTAGTGCTTGACATTACCAGAATAACAGTTACTGTTGATTATAACTGCCCAAAGATCTGGGTTCTTATATCCCTGGTTAGAAATTGTTACAGGTTGAGCTTACACCACAGGCAGTCTTTTGTCTTTCAGCAGGTACCAGTAGATCAGTTATTCAGTGGTACAGTGAGTGGAAGAGAATTGTCTTTGGTTTCTTAAATATACTCCATTTCTCTAGGTAAAAACTCCTTAAGTATTGTACAAAATGTCCTGGATACAAGAAAACAGGGTATGATTTGTGAAACAATACCTGCTTGCCAGCCTGAATTACCGGGTGCAACTCGCTTGTTTGTATTTTCTCAATGATGTCTGCAGCACTGCTATGGCTGATAAACAGCTCCCCATTTATTGTCAGCAATTTGTGAGCACACCAGCCACTGTAACTTTGATGTGACTGAAGCAGCAGGACCTGTTTTGTCTAGGAAATTACTTTAGACTATCTGTTCTGGCTCGGTATTTGTTTTTCAACAATGCTGATTACCTACAGCATGAAGTACAGGGAAAACGTCTTTGAATCTATACAGCAGTCCAATTCATGGACTGAAATTTGAGAAACGCAAACTACAAAAAAAAGAAATTATGTTAGGGCCACTTTGATTCAGAAAACATCTGAATGAGCACAGACATTAAAAAGTGCCAAAATATATTTAATTCCACTAATCGGTAGGAAAGAAATGGTCCTACAAAACAGGGAGAACATTTAATAAAAATTATTTAAAAATTATTAATCTGAAAGAGGGAAAATATTAAAATAATCTACTGTGTTTGTTATTTCAGATTAAAATTTAAATTAAAATTCACTTCAAATTATTTACAGGTTTTCTTGTAATTTACTTCTCCCTTTCCACTGAGATTTTTTCAGTGTGTTATATTTTACAGGGCTCCTCTTGAAACTTAATGATAGTTGGTGTTGAACTGAGTGTGAGATGTGAAGATTTAAACTAATCAAGATTTGAATTCTGGGACTTCCGGAGCCTTTGGGATTTTTTTTTAAGTCTTATGCAGATAGAAGCTCTTTGAGCAACTAGTTCTTTAATCATGAGCTGTCTGCGGCACATTTTCTTATGGAATATGTACATCTTTATGATATATATTATCATTGATTGCCATGTATTTGAGCTGATAATCTGAGAGAAAACCCACCCTACAAGTGTGTCCGTGGCTGATAGATTGTGGATGTTATCTGACCCTTGCAATTCTTGTTTTCTCAAAAGATATTATCGTAGTCACCTCAATATTAAATTGTGAGGGTTTTTTAATGTTTTTTTGTTTGTTTGGGTTTTTTAAATGGTGCTTGAAGTTTGTACTTACAAATTTAATGGATCCTTTCTCTCAGATCATGGCTCAGCCCATTTTGTCTGTATCTTTTTCTTTATAGGTTCTGCGTCTTTGACTCTGATGTTCTTCCCAAGACCATTAATTAATTTAAACTTCTCCCAAAACAGTCCAAAACCAAGTAAATGTTATGAGCAAGGGTTATGGAGTGGCTACGGAATATTGCTCAATTAAAGTAAATATGCTGAATTTAATGATTATTCTTGCATAATCTCTTCATAAAGGTTTGCAAACTCTCAGTACTCATAGTTAATAACAACGAAGGGTGTACAGAGCAGCATCTCTCCCTGACAGCTTCAAAAGTTTGAAAACACTTCAAGTGTGCTAACTTTCTGTTTTTGCTAGTTCCTCTACAAACATTGATGAGACACTATCCCAGAACTCCCAGTGGGTCCAGTTCCGCCATCCATGCTGCTGTGTGGTGCCCAAAGAGCTCTGGGCAGTGGCTGTGCTGCCTGAGGAGACCACCGAGGCAGAGGGTGTGTAACCCACCTATGGCCACACTGTTCCAGGGATGCTTCAGTGTGCAAGCTGGCAGTGTCCTTAGGTGTCAAAGTGCTCTCTAGCCTCTTAGTTCAACTCTCTAGAGGCAAGCTTTACTCCAAAATATTTTTCCATGAGGACAGCTGTGACCAAACTCCTCTGACTGTGGCTGTGCTCTTAACGATGTGTTTTCTGATGGCCTAGCCCTGAGAGCTGATGCTGGCCCCATTTCTACGAGCCATGCTTTCACTTTTTGGTGGAAGCTGTGGAGTAGCAGCCTTCCTCCTATCATGCCGTGAAACCCTGCCCTGGGTTCAGTGAAGCCCTGCGTGCCATGCTTTGAGACCCTCACATCAATAAAATAATTGTTTTTACTTCTCCTTAGTCCTCAACAAGGAGAAAAGCACTTTCAATTGCAAGTCAGTCTCTCTTCTCTCAGCTGGAGCTTTTCTAGCTTTTTCTAAGTGGGGAAAATTACAGCAATATGCTATTTTTTCTCTCTGATCTGAGACTGTTTCAGTGATAGAGTTGAAAGTACTCAGAAGCTCACCATTACAAGAAATTCCTCCACTAAGATTTGTGCTAGGATGCCACATGCCCCTTGAAAACAGAAAATTCTCTTCTGAGGAGGCCTCACTCGAAACCTGTTCATCAAAAAAGAAAACAAAATAAAATTCAGTGGAAAAAATAATAAAATTTTTCAGGATTCTTATGATTCAGGCCATTAACTGTTTACAATATGCAGAATGAGTTTATAGCATTTGGATGTACTTAGAGGTTAGGAGTTGAAAAATGTGTTGTTCTAGCAGAGAAACAGTATATTGTTCCAGCACAGCAAGAATGCAACATAAATAATTAAAGGCTATATCAATTTTGCTAAATGCAAATCTAAAAAGAATCAACTTAAATGTACTGTTGTCTGTCAGAAGCTGTTCCAGGCATAAAGATATATTTTTCTTTTGTTATCCCTTAACATGTACGAAGCATATTAAGGGGTCCCATCCCTTGCACAATACATGAGCTTTGGTGAAGTTCAATAAACTTTATAGAGGAACATGGCATTTGTACTGATTCTATACATACTGTTCTTTTAGCCAGAAAAAATCAGGTAAAAAAAATAAGAAAATTGTAAGATGGGAAAAGATATCAACAAACATAAAAATAATACAGGAGGTTGTCTAAATTAGGGAGCAGAACATACTTTTGACTGGTTATGTTTTGAAAATATAACTTGAAACACGGAAAAGCTCGAAGTCTAAGTAACTACAAAACTTCAAGCCTATTACAATTACTCCTTTCTGAATTTCACTGTAAATGGCCTATATTCCTATAATAGGCCATCATATAGGCATGCACTGTGAGAATATTGTCTGGAAAAAGCTGGTGGACTCTACATGTTTGTAAACCTAGGTAGATGGTTGATGGTTCGTGGGGTTAATGACAACAGTGTAATTTTTCTAACAGAATAATTTGCTTCTAGATAAGTAGATTTCCTTTATTTTAGCTCAGAGAGGAAGACAGAGAACTAGAAAAATATGTCAGTAGGTGTTTAAGTGAAAAACTTTAGAGTTGCTTTTGATGTCTGTCTATCATTCTCCTCTGCACATTGCTATATGTCAGTTTAGCTGTTCTAAAAAGAAACTCAAAAATTACTGTATGAGAAAATTTAGAGCAGGCTTGATTTAAATCTGGAGCATCCTGTGTAGAAAATGCAATGATGAAAACATTCAAAAACATGTTATTTCTGGTACATTATAGCTGGAGAACAGATTTTTATAGAAAAAAATATTTCTTCAGACAGTCAGCATGTATTTTGAGGCCCTGGTACACCTGTTTTAGCAAACTGATTACTTTCGTGCTTGCAGATCTGCTTGTACATCTGCAAAGGAATATTTTAGTTATGACTGACATTCATTTTGTTTGAAGAATAGTTTTCTGGAAGACAAACACACATCTGGGCTGTGACATAGCTATGCCTATACTCACGTGGAAACCTTGAAGCTCAGGAAGGTACAATATGTTCTCGGTTATGCCAATGGAAATGAGTTCTTTTCTGATCTGGGACTACATTCTGTCTCACAGCACGTCTTTGAAAACACAACATGTGAAGACCACTGTTTTTGTCACTGTGTCTCTGTTCCCTCAGTCTGCAAACCTCTGCTATAAGGAGCTAACCCTCTTAATTCATTGTCCCAGCGCAGACCAAAATGATGCCAGAAGACATAACCGCTACATCAAAGACAAGCCTGTTCCGCCTGTGTCAATGTACTCACTGAACCGAGCATTGCTCGTGTTCAGTCCTTCTGCACCACTTTCATTTTTTTTAAAAAACAACATATTGATTTTATTTTCTGCCAAGAAAAATTTCTGAGCACAGTAAAATGGTTACCAGAGAATGAAATGATAACTCTTACACTTATGGAATGACTTCTTTTGCTCTTGGAAAAAACAGTAGTATCCAAAAGTTGTCGAAATTTGGCATATTTGAATCTGCGGTTGTACAAATAAGGAACAGCATTTTAAATTTGCAGTAGTATTTTGACATATTTATAGGCTTTCTTTTTCAAATGAGCTTTTTTTTATGTGTGCCATGTATCTAGCTCTAAAAGATTACTTATTCTGCTCATTTTAGTATTAATCAGAATCACCTATGTATAAACCAGAGAAATGCATCCCATGCAAAGAGGAGGGTAACTAATAGTTATTCTCCCAAGACACGTATGAATGGAAGAAACACAGTCAAAGTAATCTGACAATAGATGATTTTTTACAGAGCTCTTTTTCTTGAACATTAGCCAGTGAAATGTATTCTGAGGGCACATATTTATACCCTTTGTAAACAAGAAACTTGTTGTGAGCCAATCTAGGGGTTAAAAACATTTTACTTGGCATCACAATATTCAGTTATAACTGTCTTGGAATTCTGACTATGTACAGACAAGTATCGGTGTGACTTTTCACTACAAGAAATTAATCACACTGACTGTTAAAAAAATAAAAGATTAATTGGTGTTATGTAGTGTTGTATCATTTATTGCAGTAGCTGTTAAAAATAGATAACCAGAGGCTAATAGATGTTAATGGTCCCTTTCACTATTAAAAAATCAATGTTTTGTGGATACAGAATATCTTAGTGTGTTCTTTTTGCTTAGAAGTACTTGCTTTGAAAATAGTCAGACAAATAACTTTGTATTCACAAATCATCTTTGTTCTACCAGTGCTTGAATTTTTGTGTCAACTTTGAGAAATGTTTTCTGTGCAAACTAACTATGCACCTCAAGAAAGGAGAAGGCTGGACATGCTACTACTTGGCTTCCAGTAAGGGAAGCCGATATTCAGTACTTAATCTTTTTCTTAAAATATTATTTTATCTATATGCGTGGTTTTTTTAAGGGCCACATCATCTAGATTAAGTAACCTTTCCACAGCTTTTATATATTTCTTTCAAGCTTGTAGGAGAGCAGTTAGATTTTCAAATGTAAGTAATTAAAATTGTAAGCTATTGAGTTATTGACCAATACTGAGCTATTAATCAAGCTAAAAAATTCTAAAATCAGGGTTCAGTGCTCTGAAGCACTGTAAAATAATAGTATTTGTGTTCAGTGATGCAAGTAGCCACAATTAAGCAGTTCACTTGATAAATGAGATAGTTCACTTTATTTTGCACTTAATTGAATTGTACATGTTTGGTCACCATTGTCTCCTTCCCTTTAGTTTTGGTTTCTAGCCATTTAAGCATACACATTTATTAAAGAGAGAGCAATTATGTTGGTGTTGGCCATTGGCTCCAGAAATACAGACATCAAGAGCTGTGCCTTAAAATATTGTACAGAGTAAAAATCATTAATATCCCTCTAGAAAAATTCTTAATTTTCTTAACAAAATGTCTGATGAGTGTGTAGAACTCTGTCGCTAACTTAAATCAAATGTGAAAAGGAAAAATACCCTGTAGGATGCTGTTATTAAATTACTTGTACCAAGTAAAAATATATAGACATTGTTTCTTCACATTTTATTTTGATTAGCAATGGTATTCGTGTTTCAGCAGTCCTGTCTCACCTTGCTCTCATGTATTCTTTTCTTTCTGTGTTTGCAGACTGTTATGATTCTGAATTTGTGACATTGGTTAGTTTCGTCTTTTGTAATGTTTGTTATTAACAAATTGTGGTGTCGAAAACCTAAGTTCTGAGTTTCATTTCAAGATCACAAAGAAAGGCAATTTCAGTCCAGATGGGAGAAATATGTTGATTAAATGAAATTTTTTTCAATAGCCGTAAGAAAATAGAAAGGTAATTTTAACATGGTGTTATTTTTCCCAATGTCTCTCACTGAAAAGGGTAATCTTAAAAAAACCCCTAAATTACTCCAAAACAATATGAAAACTTTAATAGTAAATGGTCACAGAATCCACTTAGGAAATAGGTATAAAAATTAGACATGCATTTGTAGGTAAGACCGTAGCTGACACCAACAAACAGAGGATTTAATGAGTCTTTCAGCTTTGATGTGTAAGGGGTTTCTCGTCACTAAGGAGTGCAATATTGAGTTTGAGAGAAGGCAGACATATGATATGTAGTGCAGGCTCACTAGCTTGCTGAATTACGTTGTGTGGGGCACGATGTCCATAGACTCTTAGTCAACTCCTGCACAAGCATTTCACATTTGCTAAAGAGGGAAGTGCACCGACAGTTCTCTTTGGAGATTATTGGGAAGACCAGATGCTTCTACCTGTATGGATTACCACTCCCATCAATAGAAAGCACTGATGACAATGGTGTTTCTTTTTCCCATTGCAGGCCCTACCAGTGTGGACACTGCTCCCAGTCTTTCTCCCAACCTTCAGAGCTGAGGAACCACGTAGTTACACACTCCAGTGACAGGCCCTTCAAGTGTGGCTACTGTGGTCGTGCCTTTGCTGGGGCTACCACACTCAACAACCACATCCGGACACACACTGGGGAAAAACCCTTCAAGTAAGTACTTGAAGTCAACAGCCTTTGCCAGCTGAGATTAGAGAGGGGAATGAATTGCTGCTGTTCCCTAGACTCACCTCTCCATACCAGCACACACAGCAGAGGTTCCCTTGAAAGCCAAGGTCAGATGAAACCGTTAAGTGGTGTGGCTAAAATCAGAATTAAACTAGGCTTGTTTTGGGGTGCCTTGCAAGCCCTGAGCAATTTTGTATCCTCTGATGAGAACTTGCTTGGTTTAATTAAATGACAAGCTGCTGTCAGAGAACCATAGTTGAATATACGCTCAAGACTGGGACAGATTGTGCTGTAAGAACATCAGTGTGATTCTTTGAAACCTATGTGCTGAAGTAGAGTGAGCTTCACATAAAAGCTAATCTGGATCTGGTTAAATATGGGGGAAAAGTATGCATCTCTTTTCAGTCTTAGAATCACTGCATAGAAAATGCAACTCTGGCTTGTGGCATAGGTTTGAGAAGATCACAGTAATAAACTGATTGTGTTCATCTGCCCAAGATATAAGAAAAAAAAAGAGTTACTTGGTCAAGATGTTTTTTGATTAAACAGACTCTGTTTATTTCTGCAGTTTCTCTTTACTGAAATTAAAGCTAAGCCCCAACCTGAGTCTCAGAAATTTTCCCTCTGTGCTAACCTCCAGCCACAACGCACCTGATCCAGGTGCATTTTATCTTCTGTTTTGCAAGACTCTGCCTACCTAGCAGGAGGTGTTCACCAAGACAGAACATAACTTTTCCATATTTGTGTTTGTGCCTTTGCTGAACTGACAGGCACAAATTTTATGGATATTATACCTGGAACAATCCCACTTTGGAACAAAGATAATATATTGATATCAATGTGTAATGTATTGACGTCACTCCTTTTGGAAGATACCTGGTGTTCCTAGGAGGAACGGGAGCAAGTGTAGAAGATATGTGTCTTTCCTGATTCTCCAGAGACTGTCTCTCCTCTGTCTATGTTTCTGTTTGTCCTTCTTTTCTACTTTTGCCATACTGTGCTCTTGGTCTGGTTAATGTAAGTGAGCTCAGCCATGGGGCCTGTCAAAACCCTTCATAACAACCTTGGTAGAGATACCGGTGGAGATGCTTTGCCTCCATATATGGTTGAAAGGAAGCATGGCCTCCATACATGTCTCTGCTGGGGGCAAAGGGACAGAGCCAGGAACCAAATGCTGCATATCCAGTGCCAAAGAGCTCGCATACCAGAAATCATGGTTACGATGGTGTTGTAGGTGGCAGAAGATGAGAATTCTGAGCACCTAAACATCGACTCATCTAGAGTTGCATGCTCAGAGCCCGTAGAAAGTGAGCCAAAAATAGTGTGAGCGATCAGATTGATTTTATCTAGTTGCTGTGTAAATAGATTTTAGTAATTAATGGAAGAGGTTTCCGGGTCAAAATGAAAAATAGATTTCTTTTAATGTTAAGGTGTTACTTATGTGTAACCTCGTTGACTCCACTTAATTTTTTTCCTTAACATTCTGTTTTTGTCATGTTTCCAATAGATCTGCTATTTTGCCCCATTTAGAGTGATTATTTTTCTCCTCTAGATTTAGTAATTTTTTTCCCCTTTTCCAAAACTGTCTTGACTACAGCACAATTTTATTTGTGAAAGGGCTTAATGTATGTACTACAATTAACCAGTGGTATGGGATTTCTTTGTTTGTTTTGCCCTGCTTATGCTGAAGTTTTTAAGTATTCTGGGATCTATCTGCCCATTCTTAAAGATGCACAGCAGAACAACAAAAAATGTGGATGCTTTGTACTACTTCTTTACGGTGTATGGCGTAATTTCATTTTTTCAATATTTCTATTTAGTTTCCTCCTTAAACTCGAGAAACAGTCATACTATTTCTCTCTGAAAGACTTGTCGAAGTAATTGCAGCAAACTGACTAGCAGTTTCACATGAAGCTAAAACTGGAGCTACAGATCTTCCCATCCCTGTTAGACAGATAAGGAGACACAAAGGCAAGCTGTTTGAGGGGCAGATTTGCCTTCCGTGCAGGACTGCTTGCATTTGAGAGGAGCAACAGAAACCGATTCCCCCTCACTGCTGGAGGAAAAAGAGATAGTTGTAGCTCACCTTGATGCCTCATCATCATTCAGATCCTCCTTTGAAATGGAGGTATCCAAGACCTGGTATTAAGTAAGCTTAGAAAAAAAATTCAACAACTTCCAGTAAACAAGAACCATATATGGGACAAATGAGATTTCTGTCTCCGGATCATGCAATTTAGGTTTTAATGTTTGTTTACAAAGGGATTTTGAGTGTACACTTACAAAAAAAAAGGCAAAACAGAAAAGTCCATATTTGGAAAAAGCCCATATTTTGGAAAAGTCTATATTCATGGTAATGGACATACTTCTGTTGAATAATATTTTTAAAACTAGCAAGAACAACCATGCATGGATAGTGTTAAATTACTTAATTCTAAGTTATTTTAAAAACAACAGGCATAATTTAAAAAATATTACTAAATTCAATTTTATAGGTGAAAGTGAGCAATCAACTGGACAGTTATCTTGCATCTGCTGTGAATGCAATTCCATGATTTCTAATGCAGCAAGGCAGTTACATCTGTAAGTTGTAACTGGGCAAATTATGCTGTGATGAATTAAGTAAGCAATGTCAAACATAGTGTATGTTTGTATGCATATCATTTTTAGAATGTGGTTTTAAAAGTGGTGAGTACAGGGTGACAATATTTTAAAATATTTCAAATTAATTGTTATTTAAAAGGAAGTCCATGACTGGTTAAAAAGCTTTTTCTGGAGCTTTCTTTGTAGGTCCTAGGTAACTTTGGATCCATGGTGGAAGACTTTTCTATTTGCTTTTCATTACAGATAACAATGCTAAGTGAGGTTATCTGTAGTCAAAGCTTTAGCTGCATTGCCTGAACTGCAGGTCCAGTTAGAAGGGATTTCTTTTCATGTCATCACAAGCTATCAAGTCAGCCTCACCATTGTAAAGTTTTTGTGTATTCTTATCTTACTGAAGTCTCCGCTATGGCTGCTAGTCTGGGAACAGAGCTCTTAAGTAAATTAAAAGGTAAAAGAAAAAGGACAATTATTCACCAATTATTCACTCCTTCTTCTGAAATTCTTCCTCCTTAAGTCTGTTCCACTGCAGTAAAATTAAAGAACAGTTAAGTGACTTACCTGCAGAATCAGAGTTCTGCAAACATCTAATATTCAAGAGTTAAGAAAAAGAGTTAGAGGAAAGACTCTTTCAGATTGGTATAAACCAGATGTTTAAAATTTTTTTTTAACTGAAATGCAAATGCAAACCTGGGAAATATTAATTTAAATTTGAATATCTATGTTGTACCTGCAGTGATGTCTCAGCTTTGTCCTGCATTTTAGGTTTGTTGTTGTTGTTGTTGTTGTTTGGTTTTTGTTTTTTTTTTAAAACCCTTTCAACTGAATTTAAAATTTAGTGTTAAATGTATTTCTTGAATGAAATCTTAGAATGTTTACTAATCCAATTAAGGTATTTTTTCCTAAAATAGATCCTCAATGTTTTCTTCACACAAAGCCTTTCACGGAGGTTTACATAAACTTGGGAATTAAACTAATCCTGCCTGTAATTCTCAATGTCAATGTTTTGAAAGCACTGCGAAGCAAACAAACAGACCAGTGACAATGATGGCTATATAAACAAAGCCAGAAAACCCAGTACTTCTAAAAGTATCAAAACAACATTGATGTTCATGTTGTTTGTGAATTTAAGAACCATTTTGTTTACTGCCCCTCCAAGCAAATCATGTAGAGAAACCTTGTGTTAGATGAGGCTGAATGTTGTAGTACATTGGTCCTTTACAATTAAAATGAAGACACACACACACATTGTAAAAAAACCAATAACATGGATCCAGTTTTCATTGATGGCGTCTAATTATGTGAAGCCTTTTAAATTGCTTCTTTGATTCCACATTGTGTCAGTGGCTGTTTAAAGTACTTCCATAGTCCACACATGGCTTAAGTGGAAATTAAGTGGTTTCTCTGTTGATAGGTAATATTATTGCCAATAGCTGTATCTAAATTTGAGGATTAACCAAAAATTTGATGTCTGTCTAATAGCCAGACTGAGGTTCAGCCTCGTTGTTATTTTCTGTTATTTTCTGTCTGTTTTGGCTCATACTCAACTTTTCAACACAACATTAAAAATATATGGCTTGCAGTGTAGAAACATGCACATAAATCCATGCACTCACATGCTCACCAGTCTCATAGGCACAGGTCATTGTAATGGTTATCCTCTTGCAACAGGTCTGGGAAGGGATGGTTGATAGAGGGAAAGATTAAGACCTAACTCGATCGAAAAAAATATATCTGCTTTTCACAGAACCATAGAATAGTCGAATGTTAGGGGCTGGAAGGAACCTTTAGAGATCAACTAGTCCAACCCCCCTGCCAGAGCGGGATCACCTAGGGCAGCCACACAGGAACGTGTCCAGGTGGATTTTGAAGGTCTCCAGAGAAGGAGACTCCACAACCTCCCTGGGCAGCCTGTGCCAGTGCTCTGTCACTGTCACAGTAAAGAAGTTTGCTCAGTATGCTGAGGTGGAACTTCCTATGTTCTAACTTAAACACATTATTTCTTGTTCTATTACTGGTCACCACTGAGAAGAGATTGTCTCCTTCCCCTTTACACCCACCCCTCAGATATTTGTATATGTTAGTAAGGTCCCCTCTCAGCCATCTCCTTTCAAGGCTGAAGAGCCCCAGTTCTCTTTCTCTCTTCACAGGAGAGATATTCAAGTCCCTTCATCATCCTCCTAGCTCTCCATTGGACTCTCTCCAGTAGGCCCCTGTCTCTCTTGAAGTGGGGAGCCCAAAACTGGACACAGTATTCCAGGGCAGAGTAGATGGGGAGGAGAACCTCCCTAGACCTGCTGGACACACTTTTCTTAATGCACCCCAGGATCCCACTGGCCCTCTTGGCCACAAGGTCACTTTGCTGTCCCATGGACAGCTCACTG